GGTTTTTAGGGGAAATGAAATATTCCCAGGAGACCCATTGACCCCTGAAGTTATGACTTCTGAAGACCTCTCATCTGTAGATTCACTCAAAATGCTTTTTTGTAATTTACACAAGGACTGACTTGTAGGGTCTTAAACAAAAAAAAACAAAAATCAAGGAGGTCAAAGGGCATGCTTCCTGCTATAGTATAATCAGCTCTCCCCAAAGTCTGTTCATTCGGCCAACACACACACACACACAGCCTGTCTCATCAACAAATGCTAACATTTAAAAATTCTAGATATATTTTGAGTAGATAACCGATAGTATATTCTCAGTAAAGGGTTTCACCATGTGTGTTTCACACTGATTAAGGATAGTTCGGTAGATACAAGAAAAGTAAAAATGATATACACCTTATACGTGCAATAGATCATAGCTACCGTAGAAAAAGTACGATCATGCTTTGAGTTAAGATGAGTAAAATGAAATATTCGCTCAAGACACACTTTACTTATGCTGCGTCATGGACCACAGAGGCACATCGCGTCTCTGAAAATGTGTGGTGATTTTCTTAATGATACAACTTAATCTAAATAAGAGCAAGGTAGGGTCCTCGGATTTCTTAAAGCTGCAGTAGGGAGTTTTGAGAAAACGTTGACTTAGCCTGAAAATTAGAACAAGCACAACTTACAGGTCCCACCCCCTTGCTCTCTGCTGCGCTACAGCCCTCCCTCCACAGCTCGTCCTCCACAGCGGAGCCTGTCGTGAACGCGCAGGCTAGTAAACAGGGCCACCGATGATGGCGGATAAAAAGTTATATGGCACATTTACTAATAGGGACTAAACGTCAATAATATGCTTTACATTGACTATGGCCTGCCCATACTTTGACTACAAACTTGGTCCTCAAATCATTATGTATTTTGCAATAGCCTACATGTAACTTTATAACGTTGCACTCTTTCTATAAGTTATAAATAGCTAGTAAGATAACGTTAATATAACGGTAACTAACGTTACAGTATGCAAGTAATTATTCTAGCGATATATAATGCTAGATAAGGTGTGCTAGTACATTATTTCAGCAACATGACAAGCCAGTGAATTAGCAGGTTTCAATTGTTGCTTAGCAGAGTGCGTGACATTTTATCTGTTATGCGGCTAGAGTTTTGACACCGAGTCAATGGGCTCTGTGTAATTCTTTCTTTCTTCGCTTGTTTATCGTCATCAGTCTTTTTCCTTTTACCTCTTTGTTTTATGAGCAGGTGTCACTCGAGAATTGGCAGTTTAGGTTGTTTCTCCGTCATAAGCACAGCTGCAGCACGCCGGCAATCTTGAGTTTGAACGACGGCTCGCGCTGTGCAAGAGAGGGGTGTGATCAGCGTGTACACGAGCGTGATTGACACTGCTAAGACACTCCACCTGGCTCTGATTGGTTGTTTCTGACCGGGAGCGTGTATTTCTTGCAAATGGCAATAGGACCACTGGGAGGAGCCAGAGGAGCTTGATTTTTACACAGATTATCTGTCTCATATTCTACTGTCAGGACATATAATGACAGTTTTAGCAAATACATGTTTTCAAAAGTTACCTACAGCAGCTTTAAGGAAAAATAAAAAAACAAATAAAAAAAACAACAACATTGTAACAAACTTTGACAAAATGTTTTCCATGTTGCATGGACAAAAATACTGTTTGAAATATTTTTATATAAATAAGATCTAAAACGCCTAAGCAACGTTTTTGCTTTAAACATTTTTAAAAAAAGACGTTTTTGAACAGACCCTGATTAGTAAAAATAATACCCCATTCATACGTTGTATGGACATTGTGTTAGGAGCTACTTAAACAAAAATAAATAAAATCATCTCACATTTTCAGAGAGTTGATCTAAAACTAAAATAATTGTTTCACCGCGTTTCACTAAATCTCGAAAAGATGTTTATTTTTAAATTGAACGATATAATCATTTCATTTATATTCTTTTAAAGAACAGAATGTTTTTCAACTTTAGTTAGTGTGAAATATACGTACGTGTGTGTGAGAGAGAGATTCATACTCATGATATGTTCTGTTAAATATTTCTTATTTTATTATTAGAAAACTTTTTCTCACTTCCACTGTCCCCATTTATATAACCCTGAGAGGAAATGCTGCGTGTCAGAGCTCAAAAATAACCATCATGACTTCCATTATAACATGTCAAAGTTCAAAAATTAATCCATGGACATATTATACTCACAAGGTCATATACATTCCAATTAGTCAATTATAACCAAGGTCAAAGGTGACACCGGCATGGAGGGGTCAACGGTAGGGCAAGACTTGGGTGGTCCGGGGGCGTGGCAAAAAAAGGTCAAGAGGTCGCCCAAGGTCATTTTAACACATGCTGTATCATAACACTACTTTCCAGGTATGGAAAAAAGAAAACTGTATGGGAAAATATTTGTTTGACTCTATTCAGTTTTCTAAAATATAACATTAAGAAGTTTGATAGAAATATTTATCATACAAGCAGGGTTTCCATGGCAAAAGTTTAGTGATTGACGAACACGACAGAATGAATTCAAGGCGCATGTTTTCATTTTCAGAGAATATACAGCTCTGGAAAAAAATAAGAGACCACTGCAAAATGATCAATTTCTCTGGTTTTACTATTTATAGTTATGTGTTTGGGTAAAATTAACATTTTTCTTTTATTCTATAAACTCACGGGGGTCAGCCAGAATATTTTGTACGTGTAAAAAGGTTAAATATGATTACACACCCTGTAATTTTTTTTTATTAAGTTCAGTACTTTATTTACTTAATATTTTAAGTACAGTTCAGTTTTTATTTCACTTTTAGGTGCTATACATTTTAATTTAATCATTACGTTTTGTATTTACCTGTATGTATGCAGCACAGTGCAGTGTTAATATTCAAACTGTGTTTTTACCATGTTTAAAGTGGCTGATAATAATAAATATTCTTTTTTTTTTGTTGAAATAAACCTGTCTCATTTTTGAGCTGGGCATAACTCTAGCTGTATAGTTAGGCCTACTACGCTACTGTATTTTCATATTGGTCATTATGGTGGTGCTTTCTGAGGTGGTACTTGTACTTAAAAAATATTTTCAGATTGCTCTGCTATATACAGTGTTGGGAAAGTTCATTTTCTACATGAACTAGTTCAAAGAGGTAGACGCTATCAGGGAGACGCTAGCAATATGCGGGAGACTCCCGGAACTTCCGGGAGACTTGGGATGTCTGAAATGAGCAGATTATCATAAGGCCTCCTACTTCCTTTTATCATATAAGTACATTTTCCTGTTAATCTTCATCCACCTTGGTCTTCCTTAACCTCCCATAATATGCCCACCTAACGTGCATAAATCATTTTTAATTGGAAACATCTCATCTGACTCCCTAAACTTTCCCTGGCCTTGACTACAGAAAGAGTTATTATTTCCAAGTTGGTCTCACAGCTCTTGTAACTTGAAACATCAGAGAGAGAGAGAAACAAAGGCAATATATCTGATTTTTCTATCAAGCGCGTGACAGAAATAGTACCGATGCTCATCAATCTAAATCTAACTTTTACATGTATTGCATGTCCAATTACATTCTTAACACTCTGGTGCTCTTCTGTCATTTTTTTACTTTTATTTATTATTTTTTTAATAATAGAATAGTACGAAACTTGGTAAAGGTTTTGGTACTTGCTATGTAAACACAAAAAGTCTATAAAGTTTTAGTATATTTAGTTTTTAAGTACTTAAACTAAACAAAAATGAGAAATGTTGGCAACTCGCTGATATAAAATAGTCTATTTTTATATATATATACAGTATATATATATATATATATATATATATATATATATTAGTGCTGTCAGTTAAACGCGTTATTAACGGCGTTAACGCAAACCCATTTTAATGGCGTTAATTTTTTTAATCGTGAGATTAACGGTCTTTTTGGCCTAGCAAACTTTGTAGTTTTTTTCACATGCTTTTGCAACAGGACGCGGCGCTGCGCTATGAAACCCATTCATTTCAATGGGTTGCGCCGTGTGAGGACATTCTGTTGCTTCGTCGACCAAAGTGCAAGCGGATCTAGCTAGACCGGAAACAAAACAACAGGCACGCCGCACACACTTGTTTGGGCTTGCGAGCCGGCCAAATAGTAGGTTAACGTTACGTTTTGAGTGGATGCCAATAAGATTCTGAATGGAAAGTTTACTTTTAAAAAGTTGCCAAATGGTTCCATTGACGAGACCAAAGTGATCTGTGTGTTTTGTCGTTGTGAACTGAGCTATCATCATCGCTGCACGTCCAGTCTGAAATACCACTTGATGATGGCCAAGCACACACACACACACACACACACACACACACACAGCTGATGCGAATTCTCCGCCCCCTCGTCAATATCAGGACCTCGTCAGTATTTATTTTACCCTTTTATTGATGGACAGTGTTACATTGTGTGAGAGATTATTTGCTCCAAGTGAGAATGTTAGTGTGAAATTGAACACAGTATTGTCAATGTTGTTTTCAATAAAAAAACATATGCACAAAGATCCACTTTTCCATGAGCATTAAAATGAGAAAAAATAATGGGACAAAAAGAAATCAAGAGACATTTAGAATAGATAAAAATGTGCGATTAATCACGAGTTAACTATGACATTCATGCGATTAATCGCGATTAAATATGTTAATCGTTTGACAGCACTAATACATATATGTATATGTATATGTGTGTGTATATGTATATATATGTATGTTTATTTTATTCCAGTTAATTAATTTTGTTTTTAAGTAACAAATGTTTTTTTTTAATGGTTTTAGTTAAAGATATTATAGTTTCTTATAGCTGTTCTCATTTTTGTTTTGCTATAAATGCAGGGATGTTTGACCCTAACTCTTCATCACTGGACATGTTGGTGCATAACTAGTACCCAGCTAGTCGATTACTTGTGCACATGCCTAATGTTTTGTGAGTTACTGAATTGTCTGCCGTGTCTCATTCACAGGTCACAGCGCAGTCACGACAGAGTACGGGATGCCTTCCAGTCACTCTCAGTTCATCTGGTTTTTTGTTGTATACTTTTTTCTTTTTCTTTATTTAAGGTAAGAAATTCACATTTTTATTTATAACATTTTACTCAAATGAAAAAGAAAAGAATTGACATTAAATAAAACCCAGTAAAAACAATAATATTGTGAAATATTACTACAATTTAAAATAACTTTTTATTTGAATATATAATAAAACGTAATTTCCCGTGAACAAAGCTACATTTTTAGCATCATTACTTCAGTCTTTAGTGTCACATGATCCTTCAGAAATCATTGTATGTATATGTGACGTGTGTGTATATATAAGTCTTTGGTCTTGAATAATCAATATTGAATAACTAAGTTATACGTTGTCGGTTTTTGTTGTTGATGTGTGAAAGGAAAAAACAAGAAATATTTACAATGACTGAGCTGAACAAAGAAAGCCCTTGAATTCGCCTCTGCATTAAACATCGCAGTGAGATCTAGTGAGAAGGATTTAAATTTTGTTATAAACCATATCAGATCAAACCATGCGGACGTGGAAACCAGGAGAAACATTGTGCCATGAACCAACAAGTTATAGAAGGCTTTTCAATCCACAAATCACCAAAATTCACCATGAATTTAATGTAGTAATGGTAACTGTAACCATGGTATTGTGGCAGAAATATAATTTTTTCAGGGTTCGTACAACCTTTTGAGAGTGAAATTTATGCACTTTTCAAGGGCTTCACACAACTTTTTCCAGCACTTCAAAGCTCTAATGTGAATAATTGCAGTGCAGGTCGATTTAAGGTGTAGCCCTACATTCTCTGCTTGTGCTCCTATGTTAGTCTGGAGCCCTGAATGCATTGTGTTAGTCTTGAAAAAGTAACTAATTATTATACTTTGTTGCTTCATATGGAACATTTTAAAATATTTATACCATCAGTTGGACAGGACTACTGACAAAAATACCACTACCATTCCACAATGGTAGTGGTATTTTTGATTTTTTTTTTATGTGCATTTTACACACAGCTGAATCTCTTGAAATTTTAATAAAACCAAAATATGTCTAATTTGATTTCTTTTCCCAGAATGCATCAGACGAACAATGCCAGGTGTGTTGAATTGTTATGGCGGCATATACTGTCCATCATTCTAATGGCCGTGGCTCTGTCCGTGTCATACAGCAGGTAATGTTTTTTTTTTTTAAGTGAGTGAGTGCAGGATCTTTGTTCTTTGTAGTGTTGGAGTATTATTGATGCATTGCATATTTTGTCCCATGTGTTCATAGAGTCTACCTCCTGTACCACACCTGGGGTCAGGTGATTTATGGGGGTGTGGCTGGTTTGGTGATGGGAGTGGTTTGGTTTTTTATCACCCAAGAGGTGCTAACGCCACTCTTTCCCAAGATGGCAGCCTGGTAATGATGCAAGCACACACACATATGTTCATATCCTGAGCTTATACACACAGAGCTCTGTTTCACTATCATGATGGGTTTCTCTTTCTTTTCTCAGGCCTATCTCAGAGTTTTTTCTGGTGAGAGATACAAGTCTCATTCCCAACATCCTGTGGTTTGAATACACAGTAACCAGATCAGAAGCCAGGTAAACTCACCTGCAGCGTCTACTGCCAGATATCAGATTGAGGGCCTTTCTGACACTCTCCATGAAATAAGACTTAAAAAAGGGTCTAAAAAATTAATTTATTGATAGGAGTTGTGCATAACCTTTAAATAATGTTCTTGTCAGAGAGGTCCAACTGAATACTATATGAGCGGTTTTATTTTACATGACTTTTCAATATCGGGGACTAATTTGGGACATGTCTTAAACATTAAATTAAAAAGTGACAGTAAAGACATTCACAATGTTACAAAAAAAAGGTGCTATTTTAAATAAATTCTGTTCTTTTGAACTTTGTTCATCAAAGAATCTTGAAAAAAAATACATCACTGTTTCCAAAAAAATATTAAACTATTTTTAACATTGATAATAATAAATGTTTCTTGAGCATCAAATCATCATATTAGAATGATTTCTGAAGGTTCATGTGAAGACTGGAGTAATGATGCTGAAAATTCAGCTTTGATCACAGGAATAAATTACATTTTACTATAAATTTAATTAGAAAGCAGCTATTTTGAATTGTAATCATATTTCACAATATTACAATTTTTACTGTATTTTTTATAAAATAGATAAATCCTTGATGAGCAGAAAACACGACTTTTAAAAATCTTCCCAGCACCAAACGGTAGTTTAATTCATAAAATAATAAAATACAATTTTAAATAACAAAACGAGTAACAAGGTTGCAGATTTAATCTTAATGATGTTAGTAGGGTCTAGCTAGTTTGGGACCAAATGTTATTAATAAACTTAAACTCACATAAACTGCAAAAATTATCAAAAAAACAAACATTTCTTCAAAATAAATTTGGTAACAGGCTTGACTGGTTGAGCTTGATGAATGCAGTCCACACTAAAATGAGATTGATACTCGTCATCCTGCTATGCTGTAGAATAGGTCCAAATGATGTCACTTCCTGTGTGTCAATTTCAATGGAAAGTTCCTTTTCTTTATTAATGGGGAAAATCAGTAACAGTTTGCATGAAACATTTGTAACCGATACATTTTGGTATTTAAAATAAGACCGATGTGTAAAACTATCTTGTGGAAAGTGCCTTCTAAACCTTTGGCTTACATTTCTTCTTTTGTCTTCTCACACAGAAACAGACAACGAAAGCTGGGAACGAAGCTTCAGTGATTTGCTTCAAAACCCCAGTGAAAACTGACCCCACACACACACACACATACATATGCACACACACTCTCAAACACACTGGAGTTTCATAGTCTGGACTGTTCTGGTTAATGTGAAAGCACAGAACAGTGTACTTGTGGACCAAAGGAGCGAGTTTGTATCGCAGACGTGACCGTTATCACATGACCCAACTGTTCGCACGACAACATGGCCTTCTCCTCCCCCCCCCCCCGTCCTTAGGCTGCCCTGCGTTCCTAATGCATGCAGACCGTGCAAGAGACAAAACTATTTAATGACAAATGTAATATATATTTTATTCATTAACATTCACAGGGACGATCTTAATGGCGATGTGAAGGGGGGAAGAGGTGGAAGTGAATGAAAGAAATTTTTACGACATGGCAAACATATCAGCATGGCATTACTTTTATTTAAACGACATGTTAAAGGACCAGGGACAGGAAAGTGGGAATTTAAGGCTGGGTTATAAATCAGGCGGAGGGGAGGAATGCAGAACCAAATGCCGCATTTAAAACAGATGTGGGGCGGGGGTGGGGGGGGCTATTGCTTTTACTCATTTGTATATCCTAAAATAAATAAATATTCATTACAAGGTGAATATCGCAAAAATATGTCCAGGTCACAATTTACCCTAAATAATGTTTGTTTTTTTTATTTACCAAATTTTCATTAACGTGTCCAGGCGTTTTACCTTTTTATTCTCAATAATGATTCTCTCATTACTGTGATAGTTTTTTTTTTTTTTTGCATATTGTTTTCCAGAATGTGCTTGTCGCAATGTAAAAACTCATAATGGTCCTAAAATAGGCTTCACTTTCTTAAAGCAAAATATTTATTTCGTTTGATTTTGGGGTGAAACGCAACCCCGACATGTTCTCGACTGGCTTTGCGAGATTCACCTTGGATTCCTGTTAAAAAGTGTAATCTAAACTCAAATAATTTGCACTTTGTCAATTCGATTCGATATTAACACTAGTTTGTGTGTGTGTGTAGAGGCAAGGATTCTTGTGTTTCTGCTCTTTGCTGGCCATTTTTGTTTTAAAGTTTGTCTTCTGACAGACCGTGTCACTTGCATTCGCTTTTTCCTCCAGACGTCCGGGAGCAGGATTGGTAAATGTCTTGAGCATAAAGGCATTTCAGAACATGGAGTTGCTACAACTAGTTTCAGATTCATTTGTCTCAATTGGTGCTGGGAACAAAATTAGGTCATGGGAACACAATTCAAGCCTGTTTTTGGACAGAATTATGTTGTTTCAACACCATTCACATTATGTTGTGTTGTACTTGCTAAATGTGTTTCGTTCTGCAACATCACAAAGAACGACTTTTTATTGGGAATTAATTCATCTGACGGCTCATTATGTGTGCAGATAATATGCAGTAATATTTCATTTGAATTGTCATTCCTTTTTTTTGTAATATCAATCATCTCAAAGGATGCCATTCTGACAGCACAGGAAAAATAAACCTCAGCTTTTTAATATTAATGTTTTTTTTTTTTTATCTGTTTTTCCTTTTTATATTTCTGACCTATTTTTCCCTGATGTTGGCCATTTTTTCACCTGAACTACTTTCCGCTTGCGACATTCCCATAATACCACTTTTGAATATTTAAGGACGACTTTGCAACTGCTACAACAGGAAAATAATACATGTCAAATGGAAATATGAAAAGGACATTAAAAAAAGATCCGAACCCAAACCTCAGGTGAACTCTAGCATGTACCGAGGCCTCTGTTTTTAGGATGATGTAGAAACTGTCTGTGACGGGGTGTTTATATAAAGGGAAGGGAGGTTATTGCATAACTCTAAGATGATCCTCTCTTTTATCATGTGTAATTCATATCAGGCTGAATAAAAAGCAAAATATGTTTAGGTATGAACTGTTGCAGTTATTTGTGCAGGTGTTAGTCAATGTGAATGTCGATTTGTGTAATGGCAAAAACATTTTCTTTAATGTGTATCATAAGTTCCTAATGTCTAGAAACTATAGTTTTGGAATACACTCAAATGAATATGTTAAAAATCATTTTTAAAGTACTGGTACATTTCTTATTTAAACTTGATCTTCAGTTTAAATGAATCATTTTGTAAATTTCACCAGGTGTATATATTTATCGCAAACTAATGTATTTTATCAAAACTATAGGTTCGGTATACACTAAAATTAATATTTTTTAAATGATTAAAGTATAGCTACATTTCTGATTTATTTAAACTTAATCTTCAGTTTAAGAGAATCGTTTTGTAAATTTCACCAGCTGTATATATGTATTGCAAACTATGTAATGTATTTTATCAACTACAAAACTATAGGTTCGGTATGCACTAAAATTAATATTTTAATATTTTTTACATTATTAAAGTATAGCTACATTTCTGATTTATTTAAACGTGATTTTCAGTTTGACTTAATCGTTTTTTTTTTAATTTCACCTGCTGTAATGTATCGCTAATAATGTATTTTATTAACTACAAAACTATTTTCATTAATATTTGATTATTATTTTTTAATATTTTTGAGAAAAACATATTTCATAATACTTCTTGAACAATCAATGCATAATTATCTTCCTTGTGCACGTTATTTTACAACTTTAATCTCGCGTTTTACTAATTGTCCGGAAGGCCATTTCAATAACACAAGCCCCTTATATTCGAGAATCCCGCGTTGTGGAGCTGCGCAGGCGCAATGGGCCTCCCTGTCCGAGTCACTACGTCACCGCAGCGCGACTCGTGTTTTCGGTGGAAGAGAGCGAAATCGAGCGGAAAATAGAGAGAGAGAGAGACCATGTAAAACACACTGTTGAGTGGACATGAGGTATTTACAACCGTGTCAGTCTGTGGAAGAGATGAAACAACCCTGAAAGACTCAAAGTGTCCTCTTTTGGAGCTTTGCGGGTAAGCTGATTTTCAATGCTTTTCTAATGTTTACATTTGATTTTTTTTTTTTTTTTTTATAGTGTGTAACGTTATTTATTAGTTGACTCTTCCTCCTGCAGAGACCTCATGGTTGGTTTATGGCTCTGACATGCCTTATGTTAGCATTTACTTTTTAACTTAAGACATGCCACAGTTGCAGAACAACTTCAGCATATAACGTTACTTTCTCATACTCTTTGTGGATACTATAACCATTTGTGCCAATCAAAATACATCTTCCTTTTTGCCATATGTTTGTCTTCGAGTGTTTGCTGGCTCTCAGCTCTTGACTCTGATGGTTTTGCTTTGTGAAAGCTAAGCCAGAGCAGAAAACAAAAACACCCACAGTGGAATCATCTAAGTTTCGTTTTTTTATATTTCGTTCAGTTGCTTGCTTCATTTTAGGGTAGCAGCTAATTCAAATAAGGCAACTAATTGACGTTTTATATCCAATGATTTGACCGTCAGAAATATAACGTTAGTTTCTTATTTCATAATACTATATTCTTATTTCATAATATTCACATGTTTGCAGAATATACAGCTACTAGTTTGACACACCCTTGTTTTATTGTATGCTTATAATCATTGTACAACGTAAAATGGATGCTACAGAACAGGCTGTATTAACCTTGATTTGTGTATTTGATAAACGTGTTCCCTTCCCACACAGTGAAAATCTGTCTGTCTTCTGATCTGTTGTTATGTCTGTTCACACTTTATCGGACACACCATGCTATCATTGTTTGTAATTTGTATTAACTTTGATTTGATCTTTCTATTATTATTAACTATTATTACAATCTGATTTCTTTGTGTACTGTTTTTTTCTTAGATCTGCTCATGATTATGAAGGGTGTTTATTGGATTAATACAAATGAAACCATGTTGCAGAAATAGTTACAGAAAGGTTCTCAAGATATAAACTGGTTCAGATGTCCTATTACAAAAAAAAATATATATATATATATTTTAGTTATTGTAGAAACAATAAGAATAAGAAATAATATCAAGTCTATACAACTTGTCAACTCCGCGAATCACAACAAGTGTATCGGTGAGAACACCCATTTAAACGGCATACAAACACCCGAACTTGACTGCACATCATATTTTTGACATTATTGATACTGCTTTCAATAGTAAGCAATAGAAATGAACACAAACCTGCCTAGTGCATATGTATATATATCATATTTAAACTCCTGAACGCCCCCCCCCCCTTCAAAAATCTTGCTTCCAACGCCCCCGTTGAGAACCACTAATAAATGGTTGTCCACTGTTATCCATGGTCAATGTATTTGACTGATATGAATGTGTTTGATCATTATAATCAACTTGTATAGCCTAATGATCATACTATTGCTTTAAAAAGTTTGAGCACATGTCTGAGCCCTCAAGTAAAAGATGGAAAATTAGTCTCTTTTGTTATACAATTCTCAAATTATTGAATAGGGAGTCAATAATCATAGGTGAAAAGTCTGATGATTGAGCACATGCCAGGAGAAAGTTTATTTATGCAAGAGTAAACATTTCTCAGAAAGCATCAATGAACACTTGAGTTCAGTCAGAGTCTTGTGTTTTTTAATTTTTACATTTTCCAAAAGTAATTGGCATGCATTTAAAGAGACAACATTGGGTTGGTTGCATGGCCTTTTTTGCAGTTAGTAGCGTTTCTGATTTCAGGCAGAATTACTATAAATAAATAAATAATATATGAAACCGTTTAAAAGTGTGCAGTGGCTGACCTGGAGTTGCTCCGTGAACCGAGTCGACTTTGTTACTTTGATAAATACAGAGAAGATTTTGACATACAGAGAAGATTCCCAGACTCTTCCAGACCGTACTAAGCTTTCTGCATCTGTGTGCACAGGTGATCATGATGGAAAAGTGTCTGTGGTGCACCACGGCCCTGGAGGCGGAGGGAGATGTGGCGATCGTCGACATGTTGCGACGCTACAGTTTAGGGAAGCTGTCTGAGAGGGTGATGAAGTCTCTGAATGAAGACCTCAGCTACTGCATGGAGTGTGTGGTGGAGTATCATCGAGCCAGAGACAAGGTCCCCGATCTGCGCAAGGTACGCAAATAATAGCATATTTACAATGCAAAGACATTTATTTGTCTTAATACACTGTTTGGTGGCATGAATGCAATTGCACAGCAATTCTAACTCCATGCTTTCATATTAGGGGGTGAGGTGGGTCAGAGGTGTGTTTAAGATGTGTTCACACTTGGCAGGTTTGGTTTGGTTTGGCCATCCAAACCCAAATAAGCAGACCAAGATCCATGCCTTGCCTTGTGACCGTTAAAAAGTATGGTCTATTCTATATGTTGTAGTGGAAATTCACCAATAAAATTAAAGTCTACTCTTTTTTTTTTTTTTTTTTTGAAATCATGATCAGGGTAGTTTCTCTTAACCGAAACATCTCTCAGAGAGCTGCAAATTAACCTAAGCAAAACAGTACTGACCAACAAAAATATTATTTTAATTGGTAACATTTTATCTGACTCCCTAGACTCTTCCCATGCCTACTGAGCTTGACTGCTGAAAGAAGCATACCAGCTGTTTCTTGCAGGATTTGCAGATTAAAACTTTAAACATAAGAGAGAGACAAAAAAAGAGTTTAAAGGGGGCAATATATCTCAGTCTTCTACCGTGATGGCAAGAGGGGCCTGTGATCGGTAGTTACCTGAGGCCTTGCCTTTGAGTGCCTCAAGTCACCTTTATTTATATAGCGCTTTTTACAATACAGATTCTATCAAAACAGCTTCACAGTGAAAACATGAAAATAATACAGTTTGTTTCTAGAAGAAAATTGCGTCATCGTCCACCTGAAGTAAGGCAGATCAAAAATATTGTTGAATAATTAAATGTCCCCAATTAAGCAAGCCAAAAGCCAAGGCAACAGTGGCAAGGAACCAAAACTCCAGCAGTGACAGGATGGAGAAAAACGCATTGGGAGAAACCAGGCTCAGTCGGGGGCCAGTTCTCCTCTGGCCAACGAGCGAACCGTGTGTGATTTATGATTCAGGCAACATTACAGGTCAAGAGAATTTACAACATCTCCATACTTTAGTCAAAATCTAATCCTTACATATATCATATGCCATAAACAGTGTTGTGCCTGAACGCGTTCAATGAACGATAGTTCATGAACTCGTTCATATTTTGGGCGAACGTGAACTGAACATACTGAATTACTCATAGACAGTATAAGAAGTGGACAGAGCCATCTCATTGGAACTCAGTTGAGACAGTTGAAGCCCATTTTTAGTGATTTTTGAGCACTTCCGTTCCTGACGCACCGACTCAAACCGACTCAAACTAAGCTTGATGACGTGAGCAACCTGTTAACGTTAATCGAGCAACGTTAATCTTGCAGAGACGGGGAACTTGAGCAAAGAGTTCTTTGGCGTGAGTGAGCAGGAGTAAGTATTCCGTTGCTTTTATGGACTCATTATCTATGGGCTTCTCCCTTGACGGGACGTCCCCCCGATTGCCTGCGAGCTTCTCCTCCTGTCTGTACGGTAATTTCTGTACAGCGCGACAGAGTCGAGTGGTTATGACGCAATCGTTAGCCTATTTTTACTAAATCTGTTTCTACGGGGCCATAATGTAACATAGAAGGTAATGGAGCCCTTTATACATTGTCGTGTTTCTTTAGAAATAAATAATGGACAAATGGAGTCTTTAAACTCCTCAGATGTAAAGTTATTCGCTGTCAAAGTGACGCCAAAATGAATGGGAGTCAATGGAAATGCTAACGCAAGTGAAGTTCTGCTACAAGATGGCGGCACCCGGCCGGCTTTAACTTCCGGTCGATGGATTACCCCCTTGGAATTACTGCCTGATGAACGTTACTGCGAACGGGTTCATTCTGGTGTCTGTGAACGCACGCTCTCAGTTTAACTGTGTTCAATAGGGTGCCAGATTTCTATAGAGCCTTCCAGGTGAAAACCCGGCTAAAACACACGTAACAGGCCTTAATATGTAGCGGAAAAAACACCCAATCTGTCAACACCAGCCACCAGCATCGCACCGCCGCGTGCGTCATCAAAACAAAAAGCGGCATGTAGTCGACAAAGCAGCGAGCGAGGAGGCGTCGTATGATCATTTAAACGAGTTTTATGACAAGGTCGTGAGGATGGGAAAAATCTTACATTTCTGTGCAAACTTTGCCCGTCGATAAAATAATTGCTGTCTGTGGTTGTATATGGGCTGTGGCAATAATAATAAATTAAAAAAAGCTCGCAGCAACATATGGAAAAAAATAACTATGAACTAGTTCATCTTTGGAAGTATGAACTATGAACTGAACTAGTTCATTTTAAAATTTGTGAACTGAACTTTGAACTAGTTCATGTAGAAAATGAACTTTCCCAACACTGGCCATAACCTCCAAAGAATGTTGTGACAGTTGATCGGTGTGGTATAAGTCCCGCCCCTCCTCCACTGTGATTGGATGGCTGGGTAAAAAGTGGCAGTGATGAGCGCTGCGTTTTACCTAAAGTTAAACATTTTTCAACTCTCGGCGACCAGTAAAAACGCTGAGCTCTCAGCACTTCAGCGTGAAAAAAAACGTTCAGCGCCTCGTTACGCTCATGGCGTTCTAAAAACGCGGCGCTCCCATTGAAAACAATTGAAAACATACGCCAGGCTCATGGAAAAACGCTTTGGTGGACACATGGCCTAACTTTGTAAGACTAGTCTAAGCAGTTTATACAACAGGCCACTGGGTCTTCTCGCCATAAGGGCTACTTTGCCATTACAGTTTAGTAAATTAGGTGTTAAAAATATCATGTACACATTTACAGTCAGTGCATTTAGCCCAGCACACAGCTTTGTTTTGTGTTTTCGGGTACTGAAGGGAATCCACATACCTGAATCAACTGGTGCTTCAATAAATATTCTTTGAGTGATTTGTTTTTGAGAGAAGCATCAAACTCGTGTTAAGGTGTTAACTTATATTTACTCTTCTAACTGACCGTGGCAGCCTAGGTCACTGGGGTCACTCAGGCCTGTCTCCTACATGACTTGGGCTAAATCAAAGGATATTTATTGCTGCGACAGTGGATTCCAGTATCCTCCCCTTCAGTAAGTTATTTAGCAAAATATAATTAAGCCATAAAAGATTTGTTTTGTATCTTTAGTTTTGGTGTTAAAAATGACAGCATGAAAGCTAGGCGAACCAAGACAAAATGTATCCATTTCTTTTTGTTGTCCGGACCAAGAAAACCAAACTACAAACACCCGTAGATCGTCTTTACACACAACTTTCAGCTGGCACACAGCAGTCTCAACTCCTCACTTAACTAACTGTGTAAAGACATAATTTGTTGATCCAAGAATGTTGTTGTATTGAGGTGAGTAACATAAAATGGGGACCAAAAAGATTGAAGACTAAAATAATGCAGCTTCCACTTGTATACAGTTCATGAGCAGTGATCCCATTCACAGGTAGTGTCCTCCCTTTTTTTTTTTTTTTTTTTTTTTTGGCTTATCTTCAATCTCTTGCTACAATTATTTCACTATCTTACTGTTTTCTTTGACTGGTACATTCCATTCAGTGTGTGTCATAAGCCATGTTTCCTTCCACAAATTTTGGGATATCGCTTAATGGAAACATAAAATTCTGGATTACCTGGTCGGGTGCTAAAGGATTGTGCAGGAGAGCTCAAAGATGTCTTCACAGACATCTTTAACATTTCTCTGAGCCAGGCTGTTGTCCCCACATGCTTTAAAGCTACCACAATTATACCAGTTCCGAAGAAACCAACCCCATCCGTTTTTAATGACCATCGTCCTGTTGCACTGACTCCTATTGTCATTAAGTGCTTTGAACGGATAGTCATGCAACACATCAAAACCATAATTCCCCCCTCCCCCTCCTTGGACTCCTTCCAGTTCGCATATCGGGCCAACCGATCCATTGATGCAGTTTCTACTGCTCTTCATTCAGAAAAAAAAAAAACATTTTTTTATGTGAGAATGCTTTTTATAGATTTTAATTCGACATTTAATACCATCATTCCACTGAAGTTAATACAGAAACTGGACCGGCTTGGCCTAAACAACTCTTTGTGCAACTGGTTGTTGGACTTTCTTACCGGAGGACCACAGGCAGTTCGAGTTAGTAACAACACATCCAGCACCATCACATTGAACACAGGGGCGCCCCAAGGATGTGTTCTCAGCCCATGTAACCCATGACTGTTCACCAATGTACAGCACAAATCACTTCATAAAGTTTGCGGACGATACAACTCTGGTGGGTCTCATCAACAACAATGATGAGACAAACTACAGAAATGAAGTGTGCCAACTGGCCAGGTGGTGCAGCAAAAACCATCTCTCTAAATGTAGAGAAAACAAAGGAGATTGTTGTGGACTTTCGGAGAGCTCACACCCAGCATCCTTCTCTGACCATCAACGGTGCTGGGTGTGCATATAACAGGACCTCTCCTGGTCTACCAACACTGCATCACCGGCTAAGAAAGCCCAACAGCGCCTTTATTTCCTCCCCAAACTGAGGAGAGTTAGAGCCCCGGCACCCATTATGTGTTCATTATGTGTTCATTTTATCATGGCACCATTGAAAGCATCCTGACCAGCTTCCATCACTGTGTGGTTTGGTAACTCCACCACTCACAACTAGAAAGTGCTGCAGCGCATAGTGAATTTAGCAGGAAAGATCGTAGGTGCCACACTGTTTTCCCTCAACGACATTTACAATGCCCGATTTACCAAAAAAGCACTCAGCATAGTGGGTGATCCCACCCACCCCTCACACGGCTTTAGTCTTCTGCCGTCTGGGAGGAGGTATTGGAGCCTGTGGCCCCGGACCACTAAACTGAAAAACAGCTTCATCCACCAGGCTGTCAGGAAGTTGAACTCTCTTAGCTCTTAGCCCTTCCCTCAGATGCACTGAACTGGGGCCTCATTTATAAAACTGTGCGTAGGATCCTTACTAAAAGTGTACGTGCGCCCGAAAGCCAAAAATGGTGCATGCAAAAAAAAATCTAAAACCGTTCGTACGCCAGAACCTGCGCAGAATTCACTTTATAAATCCCAGTCAG